ATGTGTGATGATAGCTATTTTCATCCAAATCTTGAAAATTTTGGATCTACCTTTCACTTTCATGATCTGAAATGAAGCGTATTTTTTAAATCGAATTTTAACTTTTTCTTCTTTTTTTTCCATTTTACTTTTCTAACTTGAGTTGTTAATGATCTTCTTGTAGTTAACTGAATAAATAAAGGAAAAATTACAAATTAATTGATGTTTTTTCCCCACATTTCAGCAAATGAAATTTTAACTCAATCAATTATATCAGATTTTCAAACTGACTTCTTAGGATTCCTTCATATTATCACATTCAATGTAAATTCCTAAAAAATTCCTGATATTCCTAAGGTTGGAATAATTCCAATGTAAATAATATGTTAGTAGATTTTCTCAATTTTGAAAAGGTTTTCTATGATACTAATATCCGCCTAATTATTCCGAATTTTCGATCCTATTCGATCAATGAATATAGTTTTGTTATGCTAACAAACAATAAGCATTTTGTTTAACGTCTTTGTCTTGCGAATTGTTCTGTTTACCAATAAATTATTGATCTTTGAAGATGAAAATTAATAGGCACTTTCTATTTAAACAATTAAAATACAACAAATTATTATGCTTCCATAAAAACAACCAAGCGAAACAACACCAGAATATTTCATATTTAAAACCTCTATCCAACTTCCTCCCATTCAGAAAAATTAAAAGAAATGCACATTAAAAATCTAACCATAAAATTGTTCACAAATTTTCCAGTACCACAAACTGAGCAGCTCTTATTACGATAAGTATTACGAGAACTGTTTAATTTTTTCATTTTCCCCAATTTTGTGCACATATTATCATTATGTACGCTGCCAGTGAAGACGTTAATTTTGTTAATTCCATTTGAGAAGGATACGATGAATCATGGCAAGTGTTTACGATTTTTGGTCACTTATTTGTTCATTCCATAATTTTGTATCTTCTTCCCGACAATTTTTGAAGCAATAATTTAAATTTATCATTATACAAAAACATCCTAATAGATTGTACTAAGACATCATGAACTGCAAAATGGACCTCTTTGCTAATAAATTTCAAGTGATGAAGCAATGTTGTGAAAAGTAGGCAATAATTTGTTCACCATCATTTGCACATATATTATTACTTCATACTATTCATTTTCTATAATAAATTTTCTTTTCTAAATTTCTCCGAGATTTTAAAAAGATTTTCCACTCGTTCCTATGCTAATATCCTATAATTGTCTTGAATACGTGATCCTATTTGATCAGTGTGTAGAGCTTTGTTAATGTAAGTGTATCAGTTTGCAAGCTGTTCATTGAAGTAATTATAAATGTTATGTTAACAAGCACTTAAGCATTTATAGGATCTTATCAAATACTTATCAGTAATATGTTTTGATAAAAACAGAATGATTGAATTGTTTTCATCCAAATCTTAAATGAGCCAAATGAAATGGCTCCTCTACTTCTCGCTTCCATAATCTGAAATGACGCAAATTGAATTTTAACTTTTTTCTTTCTCTCCATTTTACTTTTCCAATTTGAGTCGTTAATTATATTCTTTCAGTTAGCTGAATAAATAAAGGAAAGATTACAAATTAATCGATGTTTCTTCCCACATTTCAGCGAATGAAATTTTAACTTAATCAATTACACTAGATTTTAGATTCTAAACTAACTTTTAGGGTTCCTTCGTTGTTATCACCATAGTTAAGGAAGTTTTTAATTCTTAAAAAAATCCGTGAAATTCTTAAAGTTGAAATAATTCCAACTTAAATAATATGTCAGTAAATTGGCTTGCGCCTTGTTCTATTTATTAGTAAATTATTGCTTTTTTGATAAAAATTATCACTTTTTATCTCCATTTAGCAATGAACCGTCGGCATCTGACGATCCTAATACATTCATATACGGATTCACTGAAAATACAAGCAGTATTAGGATACAAACAATTGTGAGTTGAAATAGGCTATTAATTTGATTTGCTTGGCTTAGATGGAATTTGCATCAATTACTATTAAGTATATCCTATCAGCACTGTTTCAGAGCAGAGTGTGATCAAATGTTAAGCCAGGCTTAGATAATTGAAGATACCATTTCTTCATCACTTCATCCTCTTTTTTCCTTTACTATTCACAGTTGCATATGATTTGCTGTACTTTTAATACATTTTTCTTCTTATTTTAACATCATTGATGTTAAACATGCAAAGAAATATGTTTAGAAATTGCAAGATAACATCAAGCAATATAGAGCGGTCATTTAAAATCCGTCGAAATTTTTAAATTCTTAAATATTCAATGGGTGTGAACTGAAATACTTACTGGATCCAACGAAAGGAGGAGGTGCTGCTTGGGTGAAATATTGTTGGTGGAACAGCGTAATAAGTAGGATACTGAGTACTGTCAGATTCATCGTCAGTAGTTTGTAGCACTGAGAAAGTAACAATGAAGATTGAGGACACAAATAGCTCAGTGAAAAAGAAAACAACACAAGTTTTGGAAAAAAAAATATTTCGAAATCCTTTATAAATATGAGTTAAATAATAATTCATGAAATCATTCCTAAGTCAATAAATATTCGCTAGAGGGATCATCGTTTATAAAGGCAAATTTTTAGCATAATTTGGCAAGAACAGATTGAAATTCTAACATATTTTGTAAAAAAATTGCTATAAAGTCTTTTGAGCACAGTTTGCTTGCTCATAAAATAAAATAATCTATTTATTGCACATTTTGTTTCATGATATTTGATAGCATGATTTATGATAGCACAGTTTTATGACAGCACAATCTGTCAACAAGAAAAAAAAATTCATAATTTGCTCATAAAATAAAATAATCCATTTATGGCATATTTTATTTTATAATATTTTAGAGGAAAAGGAAAAACTTCCATTTTTCATTTGAGATGAAAGTTGTAAAAAGGAAAGGATGCTTGGCGATGAGCAAAAGCGTTGTTTTAACATGAAATGGAACTATCCCTTTGTCAGACTGCCAGTCAAGTCTTCATATTCATCAGTGAACTGTTAGCCTCCATGTACATCACTGAACTGTTATTCCACAACTAATGAATATTTCAGTCAAGATAAATTGTGAATGACAAGGCTATCATTATCATTTAAGATATACTTATTTCAGATAAATTCATTTTTATGGTAAAAGAATTTGAATTTTATAAAAGACGAAACTTAGAAAATATGTATTCTTCCAAACACAGTCAATATTGTCGTAATAATCAGCACTTACATAAATGATATCCAAGGTAATATCCATATTACAAATCATTGCACTCGATATCTTATCTAAATTTGAATAAGTGCAAAAATTTTGATGACTGAAACTAATCTTAATGAATATTTTTTATTCGATCTGATAAATTTAATATAAATTGAAAGTGTATCGTCGATAACCAGTTCACATAAGATATGTTCCAAAATTAGCGCTCTATAAGAAATCTTTAAAGGTTAAAATCTGGCTGAGATGAAGCGATTTCTCAAAAAATCTTAATTACTGAATCACAGAAAAATTATACAACTCTTAAATATATTTTCCAAAATATAATATTTCTTTAAGAATGATGGGTTGATTACTTCAATAATGCTATATATTGAAAATGAGTGACCGTATATTTACATTTCAGTGGCTGTTGTTAAAAAATTATCTTTTGTCACAGCAAGTAGTTTTCTCAAAAAAGGAATAAGAATTGCAAATAGGCAAAGGTCGGCGTAAATCGGTGTCCTCAATAGTGTTTTTGCTCCTTATCACAGCAATCTCAAAAATTCAACTTCTAGGATACAAGGAATAAATTTGCCTCGAACCTACTTTCTTTCACCTTTTCTTTATCAAGCAATATATCTACTTCGGCAGTTTAATAACCTTTACGTTTACTAAGCTTCCTTCAACAAACCTTCTTCACGACGTCATGATCATGAAATAGTGTCTATTTCGAAAAATTAGTTACCGAAAGAAGTCACTTTTTTTATTCCGTTGATTAGGAAACAACTGAACATCACATCTTCACTTTGCAAATTGCAGCCCAGAAAAAATTACGCTTAATTTGGTAAGTGTGAATAGTTTAGAAATTTTGAAGATTCTTATTCTTTTGCAAAAAAAAAAATTATATGGTTTTATATGTAACCTGCTTATTGAATAACAAATAGAGCATTCATTCGACTAGGCACTGAAAATTTAATTAAAGCGCTACAGAGGAAGAAATCATTCCTTACATTTTTCTCTATCAAGATTTGCAGAACGAGGAATGTTTTCATTTGTTTCAAGAAATACTGCACATTTAAAAGTTCCATAAAACTTATACTTACAAAATTAATGTGAAATTCAGAAATAACTTTTTATGAGTGGAAAACAACATAGAGGCAACGAGAAAATACATTATTAGGACAGGTAACCGCGTCCTTTTAAAATTATATGCTATAAAAAATGCATATTCATTATCGTCAATTTAAATCGTTCCATCATAAATTCTTGAAATATGAGAATACTCTTTCTTTCCAGAACTCAGAACCACTTAATATGCATGTTTTAAGAGCGAAAAATGACACTATTCATAAAATTCCATTTTCTTCAAATACAATCCTGTTAGGAACAGTCGACAGAAAAAAAAAAAGAATATTTGAAAGGAATCGAGCTGCCAAAATACTTGAATTTAGTATGAAACACTTACAATGATATTTTCATCCTCGAATTTTAAATCACTGAGAAAAAAAACAAAGAAAGCTATTTTGATTCGAAATCTCTGTAAACTCTCGACGATTTTTCTTGTTGCTTATAGTCAAATATAGTAAAATTAAGTTGTCAGGTTGAAGAGCATATTTAAAAGCGAGAAATTTTAAAAAGTCTCCTTTATCGGAAGACCAAAATTAGGAACAAAGTCGAAAGGAAAGTAATTGAGAACTGTAAACAATAAAAAATTTGGACGTTTTATGACAAAATGTTCAATATTTTAATACAAAATACATTTATAGAAGCAAAAAAATTGCAAAAATTAAACTTCAGGACCTTCGCCTCCAGGTACCAACATTGTGATATGATTACCATTCAGTAATTCGTACTCCACAACATCTTCTAATACCATATTGAAATCTGTTAAAGTTCCAACAAGCTCGTCTTCAACTGTACTGAAAGCAGATTTATCTCAATATCTGTACATACGGTGCATTCATTTTTAATATTATTTCAATCACACAACGGATAACGTTACAATATAAATTTTTGAATTTCACTTCTTTTCATAATTTTCTATCCACAGCGAAAATTTCTTCAAAACTTACACTTTTAAAGTTCTTGTAACTCAAGTACGGATATGAAATTACATTAAATCCAAAAAAATCAAAATCCAAAGGAAGAGAAAGCTGAATTGAATATTATATTGTAGTAGCTGTATCACTGCTAGGATCTTTTGTTTCGAAATAGGATGGTTAAATTTAGCGAAGCAAATTGCAACAAAGAAAGAATCAAATATTACGATAAAACTGAATTATATTTAACTCAAAATATCATTTTGGGAACATAATAACTTTTTAAAATATCATTTTGGGAACATAATAACTTTTTAAAATGCAGAGCAAAGCAAAGTATGCAATTTCTTCAGACCAATTTCGTCACAGCAGTGACGCAAATAGCACAGACTTAATAACTATGTGATTGTATCAGGTAACCTTTACTCTGCAGTAGGACTTAATTTTCAAATTTCAGTAAAATCAGCAAAGCCAATAGTTGCTAGTCTAAAATCAAATCAAAAAGTCGAAAAAAATGTCAAATTTTTGAAAAAATTGAAGATGTACATAACGTTGTATTGAGAACGATCATAAATTTTGACAGAAATGCTGTAAGTTAAAATATCGTTTGAATTTGCTACGACTAAAATAACCAAATAAATAGATCTGTTGTCAATGAATGGTTTTGCAGTATGCACATCTAGACCAGGTAACATCACAACGTATTCTGAATAACCACTTCTATAAAAAGTAAAAATTGTAACAAGATCAAATTGGAAAATTAGTATGTGAATATAGTTAAATCAAGATAACAAAAGGACGCATGAGAAATGAATCTGAAGAGTCTAAATTAGCTAAATGATTCCTTTCGCGATAATGCTACGAATTGAAAAATTCTAGACAATGTAGATAAGCTCAGATACTCAGATATGGATGAGTGTTGAATAAATGATTGCTTGTTTTATATTTGTCCAAGAAATATTTAATTCAATTTTCTCTTCCTCTAGATTTAATATAATTTCATATTCGTACTTGAGTTACAAGAATTTTAACGAGCTAAGTTTTGAAGAGTTTGCAGGTTCGAAAATTTTGCTGTGGATAGAAAATTATGAAAAGAACGTGAAATTTAAAAATTTATATTATAATTTTTTCCGTCGTGTGCTAAATTGACTGAAGTGGATTCTGTTAAACATGTTACAAGTATATTGAAAAGAATCAATAAACTATAACGGAAAGCTTGATATCTTAAGGGTAGATCTGAACCCGTTAATCACAATTCATGACATACCATTCGAAGATGCTGTGTATGCAGAAGAGGGTTAAGGGGAGATACAAAGAAATATTGTTCACAATGAAAACAACCCAGCAATATTTGTTTACTGGCAATAGACTAACCAGCGACGCATGCTTTCACTGTGTGTTGGAGCAATTTTTTTCTTTGTCAGCTGTGAATATTTTTTCTACTTTTCTAATATCTGGATTAAATTACATATATGTGATAAGAGAATTAAATTATCAATATCATGGATAGAGTCGGTCATTCTTTGTTAACAAACGGTGACATTGTAGGCAATGCACATAAGTTGGAAGATGAATGTTGGATTAATATACAAAATTAACAAAAAAGAAGACTAAAACCAAACTAAAACAGCTTTATATTTGTTTAGGAAATATTCAAATAAGACAGCAGTTGGTATATAAATTTATATTTATTGATTTCATTCAGAATCACTTTGATTATTTTGTTGTTATGAAAGTATTTCGACGACAATTAATTATAATTTTTCGGTTTCATCGATATAGTATCCCTTCTCTTAATTTACATTTTATGGGTAACGCATTGCTTAAAAATTGCGTTTTATACTCCACTCATTTACAATTTGAACTTCGAGACCTAAATTTCTGATAGTGATTCGTCACAGAGATGCTATTCAGCTGTTCAATAATACTTTTATTTGTTCTGCATTTTACTGGATTGATAAGCGGCAGTTTACCTAACTCATCGATACAAATGAATGACGATGAAACACGTATCCGAAATTTCCCGTTTAGCCTGCACAGATCCGCAAGTATTAATGGTACAATTAGGAGAGGTCATCTTAACGTCCATTACGCTACTCTTGAGAAATCAAATGTGGTAAGCATTTCCTGTAGGAAACTCTTTTAGGAGTTTTGAAATTTAAAAACTTGTAAGAAAAACTGGAAGTAATACATAAATGAATGATGTGTCATCGCAAAGCAATTGCTTACGTTATTGTTATGTTACGTAGCATCAGATGTTAAGAATTTCCTCCTCTAATATAGTGCTAGTAAATATTTTCTTCTATAGGCTGATCAATATTTGCTTCATATAATGCTAATCAATATTTACGTCATGTAATGCTAAACAGTATTTATTTAGAAATGGATTGTTATAAGCTGTTTGTTTAGTTAGATCTGTTACGAATCCACGTTCGCTTGCATGATGTGAATAGGTTCATTAACACCAGTAAATTGTTGTTACGAGTTACTTCTCCGATCGATGCCATATCATTTGCGTTACCAACCGGGTAAGTTCCATATTTCGTTTTTTGACTGGATCTGTTAAGCAAATCACTATACGGGTAAACATTTGTGATTGTAACATGTGGAGTTTTTATAAACCTGAATTCTGCTGCTTGCTGAAAAGACTTTTCTAAGTAAAATATGAACAATGGATTGTTATGCATTTTAAAAAATTAAGTATTTTTAAGTCTCTGAATAAAGTTAATGTCGAAGAATCCATGTTACTGCATATTTGCTGTGAAGTTCTTTTATGGTTTTATTTTTTATCTCCGTAAAGTTTTTTTTTTTTTTTCACCGAATAATGCAAAGAAGGTAACTATGTCATAAAACAAAGAAAGAGAGAGAGAGAGAGGGAGAAATAGAGAGGACGAAAAGGATGCCTTAAGAATAATTGCAAATCAAGAAGTGAAATTCATTCATTTAGCTCAATTTTTATTGGTAATAATATTTCACTTCTTTTATAAATTATCTTGTTACAATTTTTACTTTTTATAGAAGTGGTTATTCAGAATACGTTGTGATGTTACCTGGTCTAGATGTGCATACTGCAAAACCATTCATTGACAACAGATCTATTTATTTGGTTATTTTAGTCGTAGCAAATTCAAACGATATTTTAACTTACAGCATTTCTGTCAAAATTTATGATCGTTCTCAATACAACGTTATGTACATCTTCAATTTTTTCAAAAATTTGACATTTTTTTCGACTTTTTGATTTGATTTTAGACTAGCAACTATTGGCTTTGCTGATTTTACTGAAATTTGAAAATTAAGTCCTACTGCAGAGTAAAGGTTACCTGATACAATCACATAGTTATTAAGTCTGTGCTATTTGCGTCACTGCTGTGACGAAATTGGTCTGAAGAAATTGCATACTTTGCTTTGCTCTGCATTTTAAAAAGTTATTATGTTCCCAAAATGATATTTTAAAAAGTTATTATGTTCCAAAATGACTTAAATATGATTCAGTTTTGTCGTAATATTTGATTTCCTTCTTGTTGCAGTTTGCGTCCATCAAAATTTAACCACTCTATTTCGAATCAAAAGGTTCTAACATTGATGCCAGCTGCATTTAGAGTTGAAATTTCTGATGTTTTTATCCGATTGCTTAAGATATCTGTGATTAGTAATGATAATTCATGTGCTTGGATAATGATTCGAAACTATTCGGTAAGTTTAAAAGTTTAGATTTTCTGTTTATAGTAATTTATTAGCTTATGATAATGTCCGTTTGACCGCTTCATTGTGCTTCAGTGGTTGAATGTAAAAATATCATTTTCAGACTTCATTTCTGCATTCAAGGATGCTTGCTATAAATTCCTCCATGCGAGTATCATTCACTCGAAAAGCATCGCTCGTACTGCTCGCCAATTCACCATTGCATGTTTTTGTAATGATGATGAATGATGACCATGCATGCAGTATATTTGCTCCTACTCGTACGTTTGCATTCTGCATTTCTTGAAAAATGTCAGCTACTGAATGTAAATTTTAGCAGTTTATTGTAAAACAGTGCAAATTACTGCACGCGGAATCGTTTCTGCTGTTACTTTAACAGTCAGAGTGTAATCATTATTACATAGTAGCAGAATTGGTTGCTAGCAAGTAAATATCTTTACTAATACAAACAGTTTTTTTATGAAAAGAATTTGAATTTAATTTTTTTTTTTCCTTCTTAAATCTAACTACAAAGCAAAATGTTGACATAAGCTTCTAGAAATTATGAAATTAAGGAGAATATAACCACAGAAAGAAATTCGACATCAAATTTAGTATAGTAGAATCAATTTCAATATATCCCTTGATAGCAACGACGGTGTTTTATTTGGTATTAGTTGTTGTATTCCTTAGAAGCGGTCAACTTATGCCGCCTCTTCATTGCAGGTAAAAATATGCATTTAGTAATACGATTTAGCAGTTTTTTTTTTGCCCCACATACATTGCAAGTTTGTAGGAATCTCAAAACCTCTTCCAGCTGCACATAATTTTTAATTTGAGAAGATATTTTTGGTCACTGGGTAAGGTTTAGGTATTTTGATTGTTGGTTTTCAAACTCTTGTATTTATGCGTTCATTTTATTCGAAAAAAGCTAAAGAATTTTTTTTAGTCAAGGTGAAACCGATATGCCACTGATCGTTCTATTAGATGAAAATAATTTAGAAGCATCTTCAGGTTCTACACAGCAGGTTACTTAATTGTGTTCAGCTTTCACCTGATATTTTTTGCCATTGCTTATATGCTCTTGCAAATAAAGTCGGCATTAATATAAAATGGTTATAAATAAAAAAATCATATTGTCTCTAGATAATAATTTCTTTGTTTCCGTAGTGTTTAAATTTGTTTCATGAAATGTTTTCCAGAAAACCATACGTGTTAACAATTCACAAGGTATTCTTGTGGATATTGAAATGGATAAGGAGCAGCAACCTGTAGAAGGTATGCTTGCAATTATTCACAAAATTTTATTGTTTCCGAATGAATATTAAAGACTTCATGATTTTACTGACTAAACTTAATAATTGCATTTGACAATTTTAATGTGTTTTAACTTTATCGTTGATTTTAATTTTGGAATTCTGACGACGTGATAAAAAAAGAGTAACCGTACATCTTGTTTAGTTACCAAACCTTATAGCCTTATATAAAACCTTATATTGAATCGGATATTAATTTTGTGATATTCAGTCCTGATTCATGCACAATTAGATTTGGTTAAATTTTTAAGACTTTTTAATTGTGTAAATTTAATAACTGAATTTGATAGTTTTAACTCCATCTGTAATATTTTGTTTTATATTTCATAATTTTATAAATATTACTTTCAATAAAGACATAATTGAGTGGTAATTTACAGATATCGAATTGCTGAAGACTAATAAGCAACGGTCCGTTAGTACTGATACAAATGAAATTGTTGTGCAAAGTTTTGAGGTGAATTTTCTTGCAACTACTCACATTATGAATTATTAAAAGAAATGAAATGGGTATGAAGGAAATAGTAGGAATAGATTTTCTTTTCTTTCACCTTTTAATATGCGTAATATTTTTTACTGTATATTTCAGTCGAATTGGAAGCATTACATTACTTATTTTGCTTGGTTGCTAATTATACTTCAATATTTTCATACATTATTATTGGTAAGTTTAGTAGCCATACATCTTGTTTAGT